TGGAATGATAATTACACACCTGGGATCAGCCCAGAATGAGGTCTTATCCAATTCGGGTACAACAAGAGTGACATTCAAATATCTCGCAATGGCAACCATGTCACATATCTGCACAACAAACGGAAAAGGAAAAGGGGGAGTGAAGGGAATTATTAGGGTATAGCATAAATAGAAATTAAGTCTTATGTTGAAATACAGCGTTATGCACACTGGACGATTGAAATCACCCACCGCTGCCCTCATTTGGTTGAGCCCTCCATTGCACGACACCATCAAGTAGCCATTGTTCTTGTAATATCCTGACGGAGAAAATAAAATTTCAGAGATAAGAGTAACAGCTCACAAACTCCCATTAACAAGCAAGTAAAGACTAAAAAAGGGAAATAGCTAATATAAAATTCGACAATAACCCTTCTGTGTATCTATAAATGAAATGAAAGATTAAGATTAAAAGGGGAAATGCCTACTAGATATCTACATCATTGCAAAGTAACAAGTTAATTTTAATTTTCTAGCAACAAAAACAAGAGAATTAGGAACTGATATCTACATCATTTTCAGTGATTTCCAATTCCTTTAAGAAAGTAAAAGTAATCTTATCTGACCAGTTAGGAAGCTTTAACAAACAAAAATTGAAACCAGGTCTTAAAAGGAAAGAAAAAAAAAACTCACGTTTAGGAGGAAATACTATTTTGGGCGGAACTGAAAGGGGATTTTCCTCAACACCAGAAACAGCAGCGGCCGCAGATTCATGAGAAAAACAAGAAGGCCATCCTTTCAAGACCCCAGGTCCCCAAACCTCCCTTAACGAAATCAATTGAACGATGCAAGTCCAGAGCATAACAGTCGTCGTTAAGCGGATTAACCACGGCCGCACTCTCAACCCTGATGAGACCATCGAACTTTTTAGTTTATCGATCTTGCTCCCTCCTAGTGCTTTCAATTCCATCGCCGTTGAGTCACCAAGCTTCCTCCGATTTCCCTCTATCTTGCACATTTCTATTCCTCTCGCCCGTGCATTCAGGAGAGAAATCAACAGAGCAACCCCCCCTTCCCCCTCCCCTGATGTACTATTACTTCAGGAAATCAAGAAAGACCCCTCGGAAATCGATCTGCTCCTTATTTAATGAATGCCAAATCAGAAATCACAACCTAAAACATTCAACCAAAACCGAATTACGTACATAGATATATATGGAAATAAGTTACAATAAGATCTCCAAGATTCACAGGGGGGCAGATACGGGTGGGAAACCAGATAGCAACTAAAACAAAAATCCCGGACCTCAGAGAAGAAAAGCGATTACAGCAACAAATTCAAAAGACTGTTAGCAAACACTAAATAATACCTTCTTCCACAACGTACATTACCGAAATCTCCGTTGGGTGACTCCTCGAAGAATGAAGAACATCAATAACTTCGTTGAAAGATTCTTAAAAATTTCAATTCAAATTTGTAAAACGATCATTCTACAAATAGAATTTTCGGCGGAAGAAGGTCGTCTTTGCATCGCCATTCGCCCAGAACCTCGCCGCGAATATCGATGACGCCGTTGAAAATATATAGGAATCGGAGAGAGTAAGGAAAGGAGAAAAGAAAAGAAAAAAAAAAAAAAAAAAAAAAAA